ATACATCAGGAGTAAAATATCTGTATATAACTGTAAATATGGGACGGGAAAAAGCAACCAACTGTCTGTACAATTTCTTAGAGATATTTTAAAGGACAGGGAATTTCAGGTGCTATAGCAGCAAGAACAGAAACTTTTATAATTTATAGAACAGCTATGCACTTTGTTGTCCAAGTCTGGGATCTTGGACGCTGCAATATGGAAAGAAATTGGGGGTAAAAATCCAACGACATTATTATGAATATGGGCCTGAAAGGGTCTCTGCAGTTACTCTTTGTTTCTGGGTGCGTATACAGGAGAGTTTGGATTTAAATCCTGAGCATCAGGAGGTTCCTGCTGTTCCTTTCCTCTGAATTGGTTAGAAATGAGACGGAATCCTTGGCACCACTGGAGGAAGCATTTACAGGACTAGGTGATTATGATCAGTCCTAAGCTGATAATTTAAGAAAGAAGCCGTTAAGTATAGTAGTAAGGACTTGCTACCTTTCTCGCATCTGACCAGCAATGCTGACAGGCAGGGACATGATGGTAAAATTCAAGAAAAACTAAGGCTTGAAAGAGTTGGTAACGTTGCTTTCATGAAAACTAGAGACTCTGAAAATCCCCTCTTCTCAGAAGAGTACTTCTCTTCCTATCGTAATAACTGATTTAGATCCACCTACAGTGGTGCAGAGAGCTCCAGGAGCAAGGCAGACGCTCAGCACTAATCTTGTGTCTCCCTTGCAAGCTAGCATCAGAAAGGCTGCTCACAGAGGAGAGGACATGCAAGGATTTCAAATGTTTTCTGTAATGCAGTGAAGAAATGCTCAGAGAAATCTGATTGCAACGCATGCTCCAATATCATTCAAACAACTCAAAGAATTAAAAGCAGCCTGTGCGCAATAAGGTCCCATGGCTCCCTTTACTCAGATGCTCTGGGAAAACACGTCTCTGTCCCCAGGGGATGGGAAGCAGTTGGCCAAAGCTTGCTTGGCCAGGAGGGGACTATCTGTTGTGGGATACTGTGTTGGTAGAACAATGTCAGACCACAACTGAGAGAAATAGGGCTCAACAAGTTCCTAATTTTTTGTGAAATGCTTCTAGGTGAGGAACCGTGAGCAGGGACAGATCAGCAGTTAAACTTTGATATAGCAGCCTATGCCCAAATTATCACAGTTACCAAAAATGCCTGGAATAAATTTCCATCTCTAAAGAGCAGATTGAGGGATTGCCTTAATATAAGTCAGGGACCTGATGACTTGTTTCAGGACTTTGTTTCCAGGCTGATGCAGACAGCAAGCAGGTTGATTGGAGATACAGAAGCAGGAATTTTGATAGTTAAACAGCTAGCCTTTGAGAATGCTAATGCTATATGTAAAGCTGCTTTAAGGTCTTTTAGAAAGAAAGTTACCATCTCTGATTATATTTGGATCTGGTCAGTTATTGGCCTCTCATACACACAGGGACTGGCTATAACTGCTGCTATACAGAGATACAATAAGGAGGGCTACAGGGCCTCCTGGAGGCTCTGGATGTGGCCTAATGAGATATCAGATCAGGCAGTGTCCCAATAGGAGAGTAAGCCCAGGGACAAGCAAAGAACCAAATGTGCTGGAGATGTAGGAGAGGAAAACATTGGACCAACAAGTGCTGATCAAAGAGAGATGATCAAGGGAATACCATGGCAGGAAATGAGAAGAAGGGCACACCTCAGGTCTGATCCAGCATCCTGTTCCCTCACAAGGAAATCATTCAGGATCTTTGCAGAGCAACCCCAGGCAGGGCAGGGCTGGATCTCAGCTCTTGCATCTACACAGTTTTATCTCCTGAAATGGAGATTCAGGGTCACCATTGGGATTTATGGGTCTTTACCAGAAGGCACTGTAGGATTATTACTGGGGAGAAGTAGCACCACCATGCAAAGAATCCTTGTTGCTCCTGGAGTAATTGATGCTGATTTTGAAGGAGAAATCAAGGTTACGACTCACTTTCCTAATGGAGTTTCTGTGGTAAAGACAGGACAGAGGCTTGCGCAATTAATTTTACTACGAGTGGTGCAAACTAGAAACCAAGTTAAGGGAGATAAGAGAGGAAAGACTGGATTTGATTCATCTGATACCTATTGTTTATAAGTCATAGGTCCATAGCAACCAGAATTTACTTTGTTTATAAACAAAAAAAGCTTTTCTGGTCTTCTGGATACTGGTTGGATATTTCTGTTATAACTCCCAGTCAATGGCCTTCTAGGTGGCCTAAAATGGAGACTATTACACAATTACAAGGGATTGCTCAAACTCAAAATCCTGAACAAAGTAGTAATGATCTTTCCTGGATGGAAAAGGTGGAGAGGGTCATGAAGGAACTTTTCGGCCATACCTTCTTCTTATTTACCTGGAAATTTGTGGGGCTGTGACAGTATGACCCAAATGGGAGTATATTTATGTGCCCCCAACACAGCTGTTACTAATCAAACATTTCAGCAAATGTTGTTACCCAATCAAGGACAAGGAGAATGAAGGAAGAATTGATCCTATCACACCTTGCAAAAGGCCTCCCAGGGTAGGATTAGGGTATTTTTAGGAGAGGTCACTGAAAAGCCTGCATTTCATACAGACCTAATTATATGAAAAAGTGACAAGCCTGTATGGGTAAATCAGAGGCCTCTAACAGAAGAAAAATTACAAGCTGGCCAGTGGTTAGTACAGGAACAGCTGGACAATGGTCACATTACACCCTCCAATTCCCCCCGGAATTCTCCTATTTTTGTGATTAAAAAGAAACCAGGTAAGTGGCGATCAATACAAGATTTAAGAGAGGTTAATGGGACCATGCAGCCGATGGGAGTTTTGCAGCCTGGGTTGTCTTCTCCTATAGCTATACCAAAAGACACCTATAAAATTATTTTAGATTTAAAGGATTGTTTTTATACCATTCCTCTGGCACCACAAGATTGTCAAAGATTTGCATTTAGTATTCCATTAGTTAATTTCAAAGAGCCAATGAGAAGATATCAATGAAGCATCTTGCCTCAGGGTATGGCAAACAGTGCTACATCATGCCAGAAATTTGTGGCTCAGGCTATACAAAATGTTAGAGACCAGTTTCCACAAGCTTATACGGATGATATCTTGCTTACCCATAAACATGAAGGAGTTTTATTTGAGACATATGGACAGCTTCAACAGAGTCTTACCTATGCAGGGTTAGTGTTGTTCCAGAGAAAGTGCAAAGGCACCCACTTTTCCAATATTTAGATCATATGTTATATCCTAAAGAAATTAAGCCCCAGAAATTGGAAATTGGGAAGGATAGCTTGCAGTCTCTGAATGATTTTCAGACCTTGTTACAAAATATCCAGCAGCTGAAACCTCATTTAAAATTCCCTATGGGAGACCTTGAGCCACTAAGTGAAGTTTGTAAGGGGAGCATGACCAGAATTTCACAAGACAGCTTCCAGAAAAGTACTGTACAGGTGGAATATGCAATACATAAACAATAGGTATATTATATTAATTGTGATCAACTTTGGCAAGCATGTATATTACTTACAAAACTTACTCCCACAGCAGTATCATGACAAAATGGTCCACTTATGTGGATATATCTTCTCGTTTTGCCAGTCAAGGTATTAAATCCGAATTTTGAAGGAGTAGTTTGTTTAATACGGAAAATCTGGATGAAATTTAGGTAATATTTTGGCAGGGAACCTGCTGTGACTAATATTCCTAATATTAAGCAACAGATTGATTTGTTATTTCAAAATAGTGAATCTTGGGCAATTGTGTTTACTCAGTTTGAAGGCCAGATTAATGACCTTTTCCCAGATGACTGATTGCTGCAATTCATACAACTATATTCCTTTATATTCCCTGAAGTTGTAGTGAAAGATTCCTTAAAGGATGCTGTGATTCTTTTCATGGAAGAGCAGCATATGTTATTAATGGTAAGGGACATGTAGTGCAAACAGAACTGGCCTCAGCTCAGATAGTTGAGCTGTGAGCTGTTGCTATAGTATTTCAGCGTTTTGCAAATAAGGCATTTAATTTATATACTGACTGTCAGTATATTTTTAAAGTTCTTCAGATATTGGAAACTGTTCCATGCACAGGGACTATTAATAAGCAAGTTAAAATGCTGTTCCAACACAGTCAAGATGCCATTCATCAGGGAAATTGCCATGCTTTGTGGGTCATATCAGAGCACTTTCAAATTTTCCTGGTCCATTGGCTGAAGGTAATGCTTTAGCTGATAAGTTTACAAAGTTGATGACTTCTTCCCGAGTTGAGCTTGCTCAAGGATCACATGCTTTATATCATCAGAATAGTAATAGTTTAAGGAAACAATTTAGATTAGCAAGAGAAATTGCTTGCCAGATTGTTAAGCAATATGATATAAAACCGTAATATTTACCTGTACCTTATTTGGTGGTAAATCCTTGAGGCTTCCTTCCTAATCATTTATGGCAAACGAATGTTACTCATATTGCAGAATTTAGCAAATTAAGATATGTGTATGTGATAATCCATACATAGTCAAGTTTCTTAATGGCCTCTACACAAACTGGACAAGCCACTAGGTATGCTTAAAGTGCTTTTCATATATGGGAACCTCTAAAATTATAAAGAGAGACAACAGGTTCAGATATATTCCTAAAGCATTTCAGCAATTTTGTTCCCAATGGAATATTGAACACGAAACTGGCACTTCTTATAATCCTCAAGGACAATGAATTTTGGAGCGTGCCTATGGCTCCTTGAAATCACAACTTCAAAAGATAAAAGTGGGGGAAATACACCCCCAGTCACCACATAATGTCTTAAGTCACACCCCTTTTAATCTAAATTTCTTGAATATGGATGCCTGTGAGCACTCTGCCGTGGGTAGATTTTGGCATGATAACACCAAGGTCATCTTCACTAAAGCAAGGTGGAAAGATCTTAGCACTGATTATGGAAAGGACATGACCTTGTCTTAATATGGGGTTAAGGACATGTCTTTTTTTTTTTCCACAGGAGGAGAGTGAAGCACAATGACTTCCAGAATGTCTAGTCTGATGTGCACAGCAGAAGGATCCAGGCCTGATGACATGGTAACCACTGATGCCCCCACAGGAGAGTTGGAGGGAGGTTTCTGACTGTGTAACATTTGTAGGAGGAGAGCCACTCGTTTGTTCCTGGCCACCCAGAACCAAAATAACCACACAGAAACTGTATTAATTAAATCACTGCTTGGCCCATTAGCTCTAATTTCTCACTGGATAACTCTTACATCTCAATTTAACCCGTGTCTATTAATCTGTGTATCGCCACATGGCAGTGGCTTACCAGGTAAACTTCCTAGGGTCTGTCTCGGCAGATCCCTGGTGTCTCTCTGGCTCCACCCTTCTTTCTCCCAGCATTCACTTCCGTCCTCCCCGCCTATCTAAGTTCTGCCCTATCAACAGGCCAAGGCAGTTTCTTTATTCATCAATGACAATGTTAGCACACAGAGGGGACTCCCACATCAATGCTACAGTCTGAGAAGGGAAGGAAGATCATGGTAATGGTTGGTGATTCCCATTTCTTGGTGGACCTACTGCACAAACTTCCAGACCTTAGTGAGTCCTGTTTACTTTGGAACTGGCCCAAGAATACTGACTGAATGTTTGACAGTTTATCCACACTATATCTTGAGACACAGAACTCATTTTTTGCCAGTATGATGTTCAATCTATTATTGAAATAAAGGGCCTGAGAACTGAGACCTCAGAAAATTTCCCCTCTGGGGAAAAAAAAGACTCATTACAAGAGCATCTGAAGCCCGTCTTCAGAGATGAGGAGGAGGGGACACAATGTATTGCTGCTCAGAGACTGGGACAGTTCAAACTTATCTTTAAAACTTAGAAGCAGCAATGCAATTGGACTATAGGAAAGAAAAAAGACTCATAGTTCACCTATCACAGAAACTTTTTCTTGTCTTTTGATAAGAATAGATTTAAGAGAATTGTGATTTGAAAAATCACAATTTTTTGTATTTATTGTTAATTTCTATGCTGAAATTATGGTATTGATCTGTTAATGTTTGTGAGTGCTTTAGTTCATTATGAAGGTGTTACTAATTAGAAAAAGATTAGAGCTTGTCTGAGACAATTTTGACATCATAAGTCCTTAGGTCTGATATGTTTAATCAGACAAATTAAATTTAGGTTGTATCTGAAAACTGTTAAAGATATCCTAGACCATTTAACAAAAGGCAATTCCACCTCTGTTCACACTCCACTCCTTTCTTAGGAGAAATTGTAGCTATAGGAGTATATGTCTCCCAAAATATTATCTGTTTGCATATAATTAGTTCTCTTGACAGAAAATTAGCTCCAAGGTACACAGGGCCTAGAGATGCATTCTCTCTTAATCCTTTATTCACAGAGGTTGGTAGTCAGAGACAGTAAAATCTTCCTCCCCTCAGGCAATATAAGACAGAATGGACATGATGAAATGTATGTACAAAAGGCAGGTCAGTCTGGAAAATGGAAAAAAGACTCCCAAAGCCTGGGTCCTTTATTCAATAAAATAAAAAGGGAGGAATTGAGGGGGCCCGCAGATGTGAGCCTGTTGCCTTGATTGGAGGTCACAGTTTGAGCTTATTTTTGTTCTTTCAGAGTTGTTGACAGCAGATGTGGCTACAAACAAGGGATTTTGACTTAGGGTTTGGTTAGTTAGTGTTTTGGATATCGAGGTGGATCTGCTCCCCCTAGACCAAAGGTCGGAGAACTCAAGTCTGTTCTTTATATCATGTTAAAGAAGTCTGTTGCCTCTCTCTCTGCCCCTTTTGGAGTGAAGTACATAAGTATGTGGAAAATTAGCAAGGCAGATTCAGTATTCACTGACTGTTCCTCCCGATGCTGTTTTGTGCTTCTATCTCTTATTTCTCTTATATCTCTGCTCCCTTTGCTTGATAATTCTAATCTTCACACTCCTACCCTGGAATGTATGAATTTCTTTGAGGCTGGTCTCCAACACTATCCTCTATAAGAGTAGCAAGTGCTCTTAACCCCTGAGCCATCTCTCCATCTCCAGTGGTATGCCTCTTCCTCCTCCTCCTCCTCTTCTTCTTCCTCCTCCTCCTCCTCTTCTCCTCCTCCTCCTCTCCTCCTCCTCCTCCTCTTCTTCTTCCTCCTCCTCCCTCTCCCCCTCCCTCTTCCTCCTCCTCTTCTCCTCTTCCTTCTCCTTTCTTCTTTTTTTGTACTCCAACCTAACTTCAATCTCACTGTGTAGCTGAAGCTGACCCTGAAGTTCTGAATATCCTGCTACCTCCTTCTGTGTGCTAGGCTTACAGGCATGTTCCACCATTGTGTTTATGTCATGATGGACCTCAACCCAGGGCTTTGTGTGTACTAGGCAAGCACTCTACCAGCTGAGCTATGTTCTCTGACCCAAATTCTGGAATGACTCTCTGTCAAGGGTCATGGACATTCAGGCCTTCTGTGGGTTTTGTTACGATTTTAATAGCATATCTACATGTGAAAGCAGGAGCTCAATGGGAAGGAAAGATGGGCAAGAGAACAAGCAATAGTATAGGCTTTTATATGGGAGAAAAACCTGCAGGGTATGTGTGTTATCTGTGTCTGTGCACGTGTGTATGTATGTGTGTGTCTGTATGTGTGTACATGTGTATGTGTGTAACTGTGTGTTTGTCTGCATGTCTCTGTCTTCTATGTGTCTGTGTGTGTATGTGTGTGTGTGTCTGTCTGTATGTCGGTGTCATCTGTGTGTCTGTGTGTATGTGTGTGTGTGTCTCCTGTGTGTGTCTGTTTTGGGAGTCAGAGCCTGCTTTCTGCTTACTGTCTGAGATACTTGAAGGGCAGGTAGGGGAATGGAGTGGAAAGGAGATTGGAAAGTTTCCTCTTCAGTCTGATATTGATGACTGCTGGGTGTAGCTAGGGGTAGTAAGTAAAGAATGTCAGGTTAGGGCTGGAGAGATGGCTCAGTGGTTAAGAGCACTGACTGCTCTTCCAGAGGTCCTGAGTTCAATTCCCGGCAACCACATGGTGGCTCACAGTCATCTATAATGAGACCTGGCGCCCCCTTCTGGCTTGTGGGGCACACATGGAAGGAATGCTGTACACATAATAAATAAATATATATAAAAGAATGTCAGGTCATCAACTTTCTCTCCTGTCTTTTACTAGGGGTTGACTCAGTGGGTGATAAGAATTTAGGAAAACAAGTTGCATTAGTTCTGGAAATGTAAATTACTGTTGTTTTAGAGGTCATCAACAAATTATGCCCAAAAGAACACAAGCTCCAACAATTGTAATACTACTAAGAAGTGAAGTAAATGCTGACCATTAGGGGACAGCCTTTTTAAAACAGTTCCAAAATATCTTCGACTGCTTTTGATGTATTAAAACCCATTTTAGCCTTTTTCGTAAAATCTAGTATTTTTTGATGTAATTTAGCCAAATCTAAGGACTCATTAGAATTATGACAGATTCCCTTAAGGTGTGCTTTAACTCTTTTTAACGGATAACACTTTTATTATATGCAGAAGATGTAAGCAAATCTATTTAGGTTAGCGTGACATTTTAACTGGACTCTGGTTTTTAAGCTTTGGAGCTTATCCCGTAAAGATTGTACCACATCATACATGGCGTTTAATTTATGTTTTGTTTGTACATCTTTGTCTTTTTGTATCTCTAATATCATAGAACAATATTCTTAGATAATTGATTAACAAACCCTGCATTTTGAATAGACGGAGACAAAGCCACCGAAGCAACTTTAGCAGTAGTAGTAAGCATAATAATAAGAGCTGAAATCCTTGCTCCAGCTAATCCAACAGCATGTTTTTGTCTACCTCAAGCTTTTAAAATTTTTAAAAAATTATTTGTAACCCTTTGTCATTAAACCACGGATCATTTACATGCACTGGTAACATTACAAAAGAATGTTATTTTAACACCAATACACGGGTATGATCATCCACTTGAGAAATACAATTAGTCAAATTACAATCAGGGCCTGATACATTAAACACAATACCATTTATAGAGAACTCTATCTCTCCCACCAAAAGAACATAAGGCATTTTGATACAAGCCAAAACAATTTCTTTCAGGGGGCAAACAGGTTTTGAAGAACGGATTGTCCTGCGACTTTTCCCATGGCAGCAGCAAGTTTCCAAACATAAGTCTGTGGAAATTTTGTACTGGATCACCAAATTCCAGCTCACAGTCCTTGGTCCCAAGATTATGCTGTAGACAAAGGATAAGAGTTACTTTAACCTTCTTGATTCTTAGACCAGTAAAGAGCATACTATGATATCTATGTGATGTTATACTTTAATGGGATAATACCAGTGTATTGTCTCTACAAAAAGTTTTATTAGACTCTTGATTCCTTTGTGCATGGAGGAAATTTTTGAAGGGGTGAAATATCATTTACCCAATTACCTTGAGGAAGCAATCACTTTGTAAAATAAGAACATTGTTTATCATGTCCCATAATTAATTTTGGAAACACTCTAAGACATTCCTCCAAAGCAATATTCTTTGCAAAACATAAAGGAAATTTTTTTTAACATATCCAACATAAGAAAATTTTGAGCAATCAAAAACTCTTGTGTGGCAGGTCGATCTAAAAGTCGTGTATTGTTGACTGTGACCACAATCTCCTTTCCTTTCCAAACAGCAAAATGGAAAATAGGTGGATCAGAAATATAGGTCCAATTGGTCTTAACTCTGGCTTTTTTGGATTATCATCAGCAACATCAGGATTAGTATCTTTTTGTTTTATATACCGTACGAATTGAGTTTTAATCATATTTTGTGAGCAAACATAAACATGCCCTCTCCCCATACAAAACAAAGTTGGGACCCCTTTATAAGCCAGTAGATGGATCATTCCATTAGACCTGAGCAAACTAAATTTAATATTTAAATAATAAAAATGCAGTGTGTTTTAAAGAAGCAAAGATAACAGATAAGGGAGATAGGTACTCTAGTCTAGAATAGTTTAAATATACATACCCCCAAAATGGCTTAAGTGGGGCAGGTAGTCTGAGTAAAAAAACATTGTTACAGAAGCATCTAATATTGTCTTTATCCGAGTC